TGAGGTAGAGTGGAGGCGGTACCAGCTTTTTTAGAATAAATCCTCTGGTCAGATGATAGCCCCATGAAAGCAAAAGCCTCGAAGGCATTCTGAAAAGACACTCTTGAATATTAGATGTTGCTAGGAATTTTAGAAATGAAGATTGGGGCTAACATTTTAATCCCAAGTCTTCTGAAGAGAAGTTTGATGTCAAGGATCCTTCTTGAATATATCCCAAGAGAGAAATGGGCAAGAATGGCACTAGAAGAAGATTTGGGAGTCCACAATTTTGAATTTTTATTTATTTATTCAACACTAATTTTATTGCATCACTATGTGTTCAGCATGATATTGGGCACCATAATATAAACAAACAAAAACCCTATTCTCATCCTACTTACCATCTATGATGGGAGATAGACAATTTATAAAACTATGTAGGAGTTATGAGCATCAATTAGAGCAAGTATAAAGAGCTAGCACAGAGCAGGGATATCAAAACCTGCATGGGAAGCTCAGAGAAAATGCCCTCCATGCTGACTTTATGAAAGGTGAGCCTTATAAATTGAATAGTGCCAAAAAGTTGAATATGGGTAAGGATAAAATGCAGAGGAAGTAGGGCAGAGCATGGAGAGATGATGCTGGAACCATGAGCAGGGAGCAGGTCATGAAAGGCCCATGAGACATTAAGAATGTTGGACCTTCCTCACAAGGCACAGGGAAGGCTTCAAAAGTTTCAAGGAAGGTAATGGATGGCATGACCAGATGTACCTTTACAAAGTGCAAGGACCGAAGCACAGCAAGGCAGCAAGCAAAGACGCTGCTGTGATTACACAAGGGAGAATCAACGGCAGCCTGAACTAGAGAGAGGGAAGTTGGGAGAAAGAGAAGTAGGAAGACTCAAGAGGAACTTTTTTTTAGGAGATAAGATGGACCTAGTAGGTGATTAATGTGGGAAATAAGGTAAAAAGATAGTCATGGATGACTCCATGTTTCCAATTAAGACAAGCATTTGCCTCGGTGAGATTGGGAACACCCAGGGAGGAATAGGTCTATGGAGAAAGATTATAAATTCTATTTTGGCAAAGAATTTGAGATAGCTATTAAACACACCAGTGGAAACACTGAAAGCATTGCAGCTCAATAGAAATACAATGCAAGCCACAAATGTGTGCCAGAGATCTCATCTTAAATTTTACAGTAGCCACATTAAAAAAAAGTAAAAGGAAACAGGTGAAATTTATAATATATCCAAAAATTATCATTCAACATAATCAATATAAACAAATTATTGAGATACTTTAAATTCTTTTTTTCATACTAAGTCATTGAAATATGTGTGTAATTTACTCTTACAGCACATTTCAATTTTTGAAGGGGCCGTTTTTCAGACCTTCAGATCTTTTTCTATCTTACTTCTGTAATCTGTGCTACCAAAAGAGAGTAAGATGTCTTCGATTTTTTCCTGTGTTACAGGATTTTGTTGTTTTGATTTTTCAAGTGCTTAGTAGCCTATGTTTCTAGTGGCTACAATACTGGACAGGACAGATCCTATTATGCATTATAAACTGCCCAGATGCTGACTTAATGGTAGTTTGAGTAGCAGAACCAAGAAGTCCTTGCTCCAGTATTAATAGGAAATGTATTATATAAATCCAATAGTTCATTTAACAGTTGGCTAAATGGGTCTGGAGTGCAGTACAGCAGTGCAGACAGGAGGGAAAAAAATTGAAATCATCAGTGAATGCTCATTGAAGTTGTGAAAATAATCCAGATCACCTGGGAATAGTACATGGCTTGAGAGTAAGGGAAAGCTCCTTATAGAACCCTAAGGGATATCAGCATTTAAGGGACAGGGAGAAGACCTTACAAAGAAGATCTAGAAGGAGCAAGCAAAAATCTATTGATAGTATTATCCTTGTTCTATATAATTCTCTCTATATAGAAGAAGTCACTTATCCAAAAATCCAAAATGGATAAATTCAAGAACTATGTGAGGCATGTCATCATTAGGGGACCCTTGGAGAAAAATGGGTGCTGACATATATTTCTGAAATGAGGTCCTGACTTAAACTGGTAGAGTAAACAGAGCCCCTGCCTCATCAGGAAGACTGAGGTTCATAAGAGGAGGTTGGTAGAAACAAAAGCTGGGAAGGGAACATGATTCAGAATACCTGTGGCTCCTGTAGAAAGCACGTTTTTCAGATCTGGTAAGAGAGAGAACAGTATAAACAGCTTCATGCAGATCATGCATGTTGTCCTTTTAACAAAACATAAATGACACTCTGCCTTGTAGAGGGTGGAAGGTTTTTCTTCACCCAAATATTAAATAGTATGACAACTTTGAATATGTATATGCCTCTTTCAACCCAGCTGCCAGCTTTGAGTCATAGGAACCTATAAAATGGGAATTGCCACAAATGTGGGCACCAGTCAGACTTAAATAAGGCAGTGAGGAAAAAGAACAGAAGGTCACCAATGTCAAGCAGAGAACTTAAGAGAAAATGGACCAGAGATGGGGGCTACCAAGGAAGAAATCACACTCTAAGCTCTTGGTTTTTAGAAAAGGGGGAAGGGGTGCCTTGTTTACGGCTTTATGCAGTCACATAAAGCTTCACTCCCTACCCTCTGGACCTCTTGCTGAGGGAGCAGGGTAAGGGTTGAAGTGAAGACAGCAGGGTGCTTGTGCCATATCAGATCTCCATCAATATGCAACCCCAAAAGATCACCACTGGAGAGCTTTGCAAATCAACTCTTAGGGTGCTTGCCCCAGAGCAAACAGCAAAACAAATTAATCCTTTCTCCATGAAATGCAACAAAGTTTGTATCTATGCTGAATTCAAATTGCTCATTAGCTCTGACATGTTCCTAATGAGGTTATAATGCTCTGGGACAAAGATCAAGCCACTGAGCACAAATTGCTAGGGATAAAATCATAGAAAGATAAAATTAGAAAGACCTCAGAGCAGTGCTTCCCAAACTTTAATATGATTCACCTGGGCATTCTGAAGCAGGACCTCTGGGGTCTGGTCTGAGATTCTGTATTTCTAAGAAGCTTCCTGGTGATGCATGGGTATTTGTTCATGGACAGATATGTGCATCAACCTGAAAAGTTTAAATAAAAGCTAGAGAGTAGGACAACTAATGATCCAAGATTTGGCCGGACTGAAGAGGTTTCTGAAACACGGGACTTTACATTGTAAAACCAGGAAAATTCCAGGAAAACCACGATGAGTTTTTTGCCCTACTAGAAGCCTTTTGAATCTACCTAGAAAATAACATCAGGATTATCATCTTGTTGACCTTGTCGGTCCTTAAATTGTGGGATTATGACCTGCTGCCAAGGCAAGCACCTAAGTATCTTGTCCTGAAGACCTCAAAGAGTAGATGCTCAGACAAGATTAAGGCTCTCTGCAGAGCCTTCTAACACCACACTGACAAATGCCTCTCCAGTACAAGGCTCATTGACAAGAGCCTATCAGTAGATCTCAAAGTAAGGCATAAAAAAGGAGTATTAAGAGCACATAGAAATAAATATCATAAGCATATAATGTTCCTTTTAACTACACAAATCTATTTTATTTCATTTGAAAATATGCATATAAGAAATAAATCATTGGCTTTTATAAATCTCAAAACACTCATTAAAAAACATGTTTGGGGCCGGCCCGGTGGCACACTGCGATAGTGCGCCGCTTGGGAAGCGCAGCGGCGCTCCCGCCGAGGGTTCGGATCCCACATACAGACCGGTTCCCGCTCGCTGGCTGAGCGAGGCGTGGGAGCAACACCGAGGGTTGCGATCCCGTTGCCGGTCCCGGTCCAGTACGGAGGTGACACTGAGGGTTGCAATCCGTTGCTGGACACGGAAAAAGACAAAAAAAAAAAAAAAAAACATGTTTGGTTAAAACACTAAAATAATAAAAATCAGGCTGCATTCCTAAGAATGAAAAAAAAAGTCATGCTCTGTACAATCAAAATGATTACAAATGAAAATATATCCCTCCACATTGTTATTTTACTCACTGGAATTGGGCCGATTAACATTAAATAGAATAACGAACAGTCAGGAAAGTTAAAAAGGGAAGTTTTCAGACTATTCAACGCTTGCAGTGTATTGCTAAGGCTTCCAAAACAGAATGACAAGATGCTGATTCCATATGCATCCGAAATTCAGAGTTAGTACAATCCTGACCAAAATGACTCTCTCTCTCTCTCTGGAGTTTACCTGTTCAAATAAGATGCCAACGTGGTCTGACTGAATTATTTGACTTAATATTCATGGAGTTAGGACACTTATAAAAAAAAAGAAGGAAATAAGTGTGGCTAAGTATATACAATGCATTTGAAATAGGTAAAAGACAAAACCCTAGACACTCAGCAATCATTACCTGGAAATTAAACAGGGCAGAGCAATCCTATTATGCATTATAAACAGCCCAGCTGCTGACTTAATGGTAGTTTGAGTAGCATAACCAAGGAGTCCTTGCTCCAATATTAATAGGAAATGTATTGTATGAATCCAATAGTTCATGAAATTAACAAGGAAAATGAACTGGAGTGAAGCAACTTTGCAAGTAATAGGCAGCATAAGCAATTGCTTCCCCGGAGCATACTAAACACTTAAAAAGAGCTCAGAGAGTGTACATGTATATAAATGAGAATGGACATTATTAGAATTTTTAATAGTACCTTTAATTTAAATATATTTCAAATACTCTGTTGGTTGCAAGTCTGTTTAACAAGAAGCTATTTCCACAAAATGTCAATAAGAGGTCATGGGCTATGAGATCTGGTCCCGTAATAGTGAAAGCTAGCTGCCATTTGAGTCAGCCTAAAACTACCATAAATTCATGATTTGACAGCTGTCAAAATTATTCCCATTTTGATTTCATAGGATTAAATACTTTAACAAATCTAGGAAACAAACGTCAACAAACGTCAACCCTTCTACAAATGTCAACAGCCTGAATGATATATGCATGCTCATCAGCAAGCCAAAAAGTATAGTTAATTCCACTTACAAACCAATGGACATACGATGAAAGAGAACATCTCCTTCACAGACACTGCCACGGATAATCTGACCGAAGCTTGCATTAGCCAAACAAGAAGCTGAAAGAATTTCCATAGAAGCAAGAATGTGACTTCTATTTTTCCCAGACAGAGACCCATCCAAGTCTTCCAAAATTGCTGCATGAGGAAATGGAAATTCTACTAAGTTTGTGCAGTTTGTAAACTTCAACTGGTTGGTCTTCACAGTAAATCCACCTATATATTGGAAGACAGAAAGACTATTACACAATGGCACAAAAGTCTATTATCACAAACAGCAACTAAATTCACTGCAGTACTTCCAGTACATTAAAGTGCATATCTATACAGTTTTACTAAAATTCACTCATTCATTGAAGAAAAAAATGTCATGCATATATACTGTATGCCAGGCTCCGTCGTATGTGCTAGAGATACTGACCCTGCCTTCATGCAGCCTGTGGTTAAGGACAGTGATTTTCTACCAGGGGTGGTTTTGCCCTCCAAGGGACATTTGGCACTCTTTGGAATCATTTTTGGTTGTCACAGCTGGGGGATCGGCAGTGCTATGGGCAACTAGTGGGTAGAGATCAGTGATGCTGCTAAACATCTCACAATGCTCAGGACAGTCCTCACAACAAAAAACTATTTGACCCAAAATGCCAATACTACCAAGGGTGAGAAACTCTGGTCTAGTGGGAAATAGAAGCAGAGAACATTAATTTACTAATTACTAAACACTAAAGTTGCTATGGTTTACTCTTTCAATCTTTTGGCTCAGTCTTTTCTTAATACGACTGCCATGTAAGTCACTGGTACTGCTAGTCCAGTTGCCTAGGAAGAATATATGGCAGTGATCTTCTAATTCACCCACCTGTATCATTAAAAAAAAAAAAATGAGTACACATCTCCCAGTAAAAATGCCATCATGCTGTTGTATTACATACGTTATAAAATATATTTTTTAAAACGGAAAATAAAAAAGAATAAGATACATAGAGGCTCCAACGTTTTCATTCTGCATACCAATGGAGCACATGCAGTGAATTAAGTCACGCACTAAAGACTCCACAATTCCACCTCTTGCAACTTCTGTAGTTCATCTAATACCACAACTACATGCTGCTCTACACTGCAGTTATATTGGACTTTTTTGTAATTCCCCAAGCACATCTTGCTCTTTGGAATCTATTTTTTTGCATAGAAACTAGAAAGCTTGCCCTACCTATTCCTCCTTGCAAAGTTCTATTCACCTTTCAAAACCTTACTCAATAGTTACCTCTATGAAATCTTACCTGGCCCCCTTCATTGGTCCTTTTGCTGACTTTGTTCAGTTCTCTAATGCTGCACTCATCACAAAGTCTATTATAATAACAAACTTAGAAATTTATTTTTGTGCCTAGATAAGTTCTTGAAGGACAAAACTATGTGCTTTTTGTCTTGTACCCCCATTTTCTTAAATAGAGCCTCGAATAGAAAGTTTTAAGTAAAGGAAGACAGAGTTTAACCAGATAATCCAGTAAGAAGGGACCAGAACTCATATGGAGTTCTGTGATTTTTTCCAGTGTGTTTATGAATGATATGAAGCAGTGAAGCTATTAAATAATCGAGGAATTGTGATTGGAAATACTTGCCATGAGGCATTTTTTATTCCTATTATTATTTCTACAATCTTAAACTCAGATGCCACCCAAATAAAAACAATTTTTGGCTCTGCCTACACAGGAAAAAAAAAAGTAAAGTGGAGACTTGTTGATTATTCATTTAATTAGAAAAACAAACAATTATCTAAATTGGTGATTCAAACCACAAGAGCATATTTACTTGAATTACTTGGTTTGGCTGTTTACAATGATCAAATCAGCTAGATTGCTCTCTACCTCTTTTTATCTTGGCCCGTGAGTCCTCCAAAATATTTCTCACCACCTCTGAGAGGTGGTTAACAAGTGGACAAGAATTCCTATGATTTTCTTTGTGCATACATCAAGACTTGGATTGTTGAAAAAATTAAGTGCCTGAACTCTGGCTCTTTCAGGAAAGATTGTACGCATGTTAGTTTACACCCATGTGTCTATCCATCCAACTCCATTCATTCATTTAATCAATTAATAGCCTACTAGACATCTGGCTCCTCTGCTAGCTATTAATAATAAAACTCTGAGTAAAAGATGTGATCCCTGCCTTTATGAAGCCCAGAGTCCAGCAGAGACATAGCACCATAATGGTAGAATGTGACGGGCCCCATAACAGAAAAGGATTATGAAAGAGGAAAAGGAGCTGCAAAAACTACATTGGGAGCACCTGGACTCCTGTAGGATTTATTTTAGGAGATTCAAGCAACAGTTTCTTCTGATACAATCTTGTAACTGAAAGAAGTAATGATTCACAAAGGCTTTGCCACTGTTGATTATATTCACTTGAGTACTGGCCTTATTCACTATCTGTCCTGTCTATTCAAACAATTTACCTTGTCCTTGGGAACAGCCCGTACAGGTTCTAATGGCCACACAGTTGACGAGATTGAAATTAACAAAGGTTGTATTAGATACCATCAGTTCCCACCTTTTGGGAGTTTTAATCCCAGCTGACATACACAGGCTTCCCTATGATTTAAAAGAAAGAAAAACAAAGTAAAGCAAAATAAGAACCAACCACATGAAATACAGGTCATAATGCATGAATAAAAATAATTAAGAGACTATAAAGACAAACTACAGACTGGGGGAAAATATTTGTCAATCACATGTATGACAAAGGACTTATATCCATAATATAGAAAGAACTCTCAAATCTTAACAGTAAGAAAACAGACAACTCAACTTAAAGTAATGGGGGGAAAAAAAAACCTTGAAAAGACACTTCACAAAAGAGCATATACTGATGGCAACTACATGAAAAATTTTTTAACATCATCATTCATTAGGGTAGTACAAATTAAGATCATGATAAGATACACTACACCTATTAAAATGGCTAAATAAAAAATAGTGGCAATAGCAAGTGCTGATGAGGATGAGGAACAATGAAAACTCATATATTGCTGGTTGAATGCAAAATGGAACAGCCACTGTGGAAAACAGTCTGACAGTTTCTTATAAAGTTGAATGTACTCTTATCATATGACCTAACAGTTCAACTCTTAGGTATTTATCTTAGAGAAATGAAAACTTACATTTTTACAACAACCTTACATGAGTAGTTATAACATTTCCATTTACAATCACCAACTAAAAATAACTCACACGCCCTTCAACAAGTGAATGGATTTTTAAAAAAATGTGTTACATCCATAGAGTAGAATACTACTTAGCAATAATAAATAAAATATTCATATATGCAACAACTTGAATGAATCCCAAAGACATTTGGGAATGAAAGAACCAGTCTCAAAAGGTTACATACAATGTGATTCTATTTATATGATTGTTGAAAAGACAAAACCATGGAAACAGAATAGATTAGTGATTTCAAGGGTGTTAAAGTGAGAGGAAGATGTGGCTACAGAGGTGGAGTACAAGGGAGTTGGCACTGATGCACCTGTTCTGCATCTTGATTGTGGTGGTGGTGGTTACAGATTTATACATGATTAGAAATTCATACAACTGTACATCCACAAAATCAGTTTTGCTATATATTAATATTTAAAACAAAAAACTTCAACAAAAAGTCTAAAAAGAAAGAAACAAGAACTGCTTCCAAGGTTTTCTAGAAAATCTCTTCAATTAAACCCATTCAATCAAATTGTTAGTGCTTCACTCTTTCACTGTTAAATATAGTAGTAGCACATTTAAGGATCACCAGAATTTTTTCGAGTACCTCCAACATGGAAAACGGCGACAGAAATAAAGAGCAGAAAAGAAAGCCAGTGGGAGCAAAGCTAGTATAGAAATCAGAAAACTTAAACACAACCATTAATAACCTCAGAGAAAGAAGTATACTATATCCATAAAACAAAAGAAGTCTAAAAAGGGATACTCGGAAGAGAAAAAAGAACAAAAAATAGGAGAGCAGAAATAAGAAATTCAAGAGGAAAACTGAGGAAATATCCAAACAAGTAGAACAAAAAGACAACAGAGATTAGAAAATCAATATTTCTAATTAGAAAGAATATCAGAGATTAGAAAAGCAGTCCTGGAGGTCCAATATCCAAATAATAATAGTTTTTAAAAAAATCAAAAAAATATAGGGGAGGGAATCAAAGAAAAAATTGAAGAAAAATTCCCATAAGTGAAGGATATAATTTTCCAGACTGAAAAGTTCCACTTGGTACCTAACAGTCATGAAAACAAAGAGTTACACCAAGGTATATCATACTGAAATTGCAAAACACTAGGGACAAGGACAAAATACTAAAAGCTTACAAAAAGGAAAAAATAAAAGGTTAAATATCAAAGACTTAGAATAAGAGTGTCTTAAAACTATTCAACTTCAAAACTAGAAGCTTGAAGACAATGGAATATTGTCTTCAAATTTCTAAGGCAAAATGAACTCCAACCTGGTATTCTGCAACCAACATCCTACCAATAAAGAGGTCCCCATATGTAGCCTAAAGCCTTTATTTTCCATAGTTCCTTTTTTTCCAGAGTTACTTTAGGATATGCTCTAACAAAATGAGGAATTAAACCAGAAAGGAGGAAATCAGGAACAAGAATTTCAATACTAGAGAGACATGAAGGAAATCTCCAGAATACTGGTCAAGATCCCAAGATTACAGCTATGAAACCCTCCTCACACAGTGCTGCTGCAAGTGTAAACACCCTGGATCATTGCATGGCATTATCCATTAAAGCCCCCCATGACCCAGCAGTTTTACAACTCGGCATATATTCAGCAGAAATGAATGCACATGAATACCAAGAAACATGTAGAAGAATGTTCATACCATCATTATTTGTAATAATCAAAAGCTAGAAATAATGGGAATAATCAAACGTACATCAACAGCAATATAGCTTTAAAAAATTGTGGTACAGTCATAAAATGCAATACTACATAATGATTGGAAGAATAAATTATTGCAACACACAAAAACATGGATGAATCTCACAGATATAATGTTGTGCCAAAGAACCCAGGTACAACATACTTAATTACATGCTCTGTGATTCCATTTATATAAAGTTGAAAAAAAGGAGACATTAATCTTGTCAATAGAAATTTTAATAATACTTCCCCTTTGGCCAGGGAGTTGGGGGGTGGGGTTAAGTGAAGGGACATAAAGGGGCTTTGGAGCAACTGATAATGTTCTATTTCTTGATCTGGGTGGTACATACATGGTTGGTTTGCTTTAAAAAAATTCATTGACCTCTTCCCTTGTGATTTGTACACTTTTCTCCATAGATGTTATATTTCCATGAAATATTTACTTCAAAAAGTGGGACATATACTAGAGAAAAGTAAAATGGAAGAAGGAAGAGCAAAGAAAGAAGTTGAAGGAGTTTAAGGTTCTTGAATTGCTCAGGTGAAATTTAACAGTGCTGATGATGCAGTATCTGTTAAGACAAGCAGGCATGTTAAAAATTTAAGGCCAAATAAATAAACAAATAAACATAACAGAATGAATGACTTTTAAATGAGTAAATATAAAAAGATCCTATGCAATGCAAGACAAATCAAGTTAGAAAAGTAGAAAAAAAAAAAAGAAACAAAGAAAATGGATGGCAAACTGAAAGTACAAAATAAGGTGGTAGAAATAAATGCAAATATATGGGAGACATCAGCATGTGAATGGTAATTGAAACCACTAGAGAAAATGAGATTTCTCCCAGGGAGAGCAAGTGTATTGAGAAAAGGCCCTACAACAGAATTTAGAGAAACAAAAAGATGAAAGGTCTGAATTGAGGAAGATGGCTCAGTCGGTTAGAGTGGTGCTGATAACACCAAGGTCCGGAGTTCTATCTAGCCCTGTACTGGCCAGCCACCAAATCATCATCATCATAATAAATAAGATAAATAAATTAAAGAAGACAAATCCACAAGTGAAAAATGGGAAATAACCCCTAGAGAAATAGGAGGAAAACTGAGCATCTGTCTGAATAGATATTTTTTAAAGTAGCATCATCTGCTCAAATTAATTACAATAACAACAAAAAGACAGCCATCCTGAAGATACTTCAGAAGTAGGGTGACTATAATTTAAATCCAAATCAAGACATTTTTGAGTGTGAAAGGGGATGCTAATTAGAAAGAAGGCTGGGATGACAAATATCAACAAATTGCCCAACAAATCTAGGATGCCTAGTGATGCTATAACAGCACATCTCTTTTTCTTGCATATTAAAGCCATCCTCACTGAAGATGACTCTACCACCTTAATATAAAGGTAATACTGGGTGTGAGAGTACCAACATATATACAGTATGCTTAAAGGAAAAATATAATCCTTTCTAATTGATAAAAAGTTCTTCCAGAAACTAATGTTTGTTTTAGGATATATGACTCACTGATAATTGTATGCCACCAATTATATGTGGGAGGAAGGTTTATGAATGGACAGGCCGAATTCTCTGAAAATCTTAATTCCTAGAGGAATGGCAGGCACAAAAGATAGAAGCTAAAATCAGAGTTCTACAACCACAGAGAGGTCAGGCATCCGTTTTTTTTGTTTGTTTGTTTGTTTTTTTAACTGACACATGCCAATAAAGTGGTTCCTAAATAAATCTGAGAAGATTCTGTTAATTAAAGATTAATGGATGTATTTCTTGCTTGTTTTAATCCTAGGATTACTCAGAGGCTTTAACATTTTCTTTTCTTTTCTTTTCTTTTTTTTTTTTTTCCTTTTTGTCTTTTTTCGTGTCCGGCAATGGATCGCAACCCTCAGTGTCGCGCCTGTACCGGACCAGGACCGGCAACGGGATTGCAACCCTCAGTGTTGCTCCCGCACCTTGCTCAGCCGGTGAGTGGGAACCGGTCTGTATGTGGGATCCGAACCCTCGGCGGGAGCGCCACCGCGCTCCCAAGCGGCGCACTATAGCAGTGCGCCACCGGGCCGGCCCATTTTCTTTTCTTTTCTAAATGAATTTTATTGTATATATTTGAGGTTTACAATATGATTTTATGGGATACATACAGATTGTAAAATGGTTACTATAGTGAAAAAAATTATCATATCTATCATTATCATCTCACATGATAACAAGAGCAGTTAAAAATCTACTTATTTAACAAAAATCTCCAATACAATTTTATTAACTATTGTCCTCATATTGAATATTAATTAGATCTCTAGACTTGTTCAAGATTTGGGGGGATAGAGGGTTTAATAAACAATATAATGTAAAAGTAATTAACCAAAGAATCTCCTCTTCCCAGATACTCTCTCAGGACTAGCCTTTCATGAAAAACATTTCAGGGACTGTTAGCACAGGCACTGATAAATGTTCATTGCAAAAGCTGTTTTCCATGTGTAATTTAAAGAGTACTAGACCAGGAGTGGGAGGCTATCACAATGGTCCTAGCTCCCCAATACCAGGCATGAATCTTGACATATCATATGACTTCCCAAAGCCTCCCGTTTCTTTATCTACAAATTTAGGAGTTCTAACTATATCATCTCTTAAGTAATATTAAGCTGTGAAATTGTATGGTTGTCTGATTTGGATGACTCACCAGCATCGACACTTCTCCTAGAACAAAACTGCTTAACATTTTTCATCAGAAGACCCTTGTGCTGCACTTACGTTTTAAGAGACTGAAAGGCCCTCAGCTGCAGTTCTTTTTTTGTGAATTGCACCACAGGGGTGTGATTATTTGTGATTATCTCATAAGAACAATTTTTGTCATGATTTATGTCTTAATTTATGTCACTCTCTCATTAATTATGATGTGTATTTAACATCAATTAAATTACTGCAACATTAATTTACCAGGACAGTTAGTCAGTTTCATGGGCATTTTGTTTTTAGCATCTACTCCACTGTTTTTTCTGGGAAATTTAAGGGCCTTTGATCTACCAGCATCACAGAATCTAAATCTGGGTGCCATCTTCACTTGAAAACTATGCAGTCTAAAAAGAAGAAGAATCTTTCAAGGTGATAATCCTTTCAAAAAAAAAGGAAAAACTGCCAGGTATTTAGTTCCTGAAAAGGATGGTTCAAAAGATATTTAACTAAGAGAAGTTGAGAATTAAACATAGAAAAATGTAGCTCAATAAGAAAATGACTTCTTAAATCTTCATACTTATATGTATAGCTATGAAAAAAATCTCCCATGCAAGTATAAGAAAATTAAATTAAATTATCATTTAAATTTCAACTGGACAAAGCATTCAGGAACAAACTGAAGAGAATGTTCTTTCCTTGCTTTCCAGAAATATTATAGGTCTCTTCCATCTATGATTTTTATTGTGATTGCTAATATGCATGTTGCTCTTTTAAAAACAAGAACATAGGGGATCCACTATGGATCTGAAGCCTAAGAGACCAATGACAGCCATGGACTTCCTTTAAGGAGAACGAGTTCTTCTCATCTGGGCAGTATTCTGCTTTGTCTTCATTCTGGTACCTTGACCATGCATTGGTGGATACATCATCTATAGTCTAATTTTTTTCATCTAGAAACCCATATTTAGGCAAGAATTAGGGAGTTACATACAAAATCTTAACATACTGTATCAAAGTATGTAAATTCATATTACCTCATTCAACCTGTCTTTTGGAGGGCATTCTAAATGGAGTAAGGATCCTATGAATAAAATGTTGAGGTAGAAACTTGGCAAACCGCAGAGCAGAAAGACAATATGAAATCATGCTATTCAATAATTCTTGTGATGTTAGAGAAAATTAAGCCAAATTATTAGATTGATTATTGAATTTGTATAGTTAATAATTCTAAATTGCAACCAAATAAGAAATCTGTGAGTCACTAATGACTTTCATGATTTATATGGACTTATAACATTGAAACCCTCTGTACATTTGAATTTTATTATCAATATTACCACTAATACAAATAAACAGCTCCTCTAACTTTTACCAATTAAATACAAGATTCACTAAAGAATGCTATTAAAATTACATATGCTAGATCATCAGGGAGCCCAGCACATATGATTCTGTTTTGATGAACAGCCTAAAACAACCACACTAAGGCACTTACCTTGTGGGCAAAATGACCAACTAATAAGCTGTCAGTAACTGAAGTATTTGCATCACTTTCCAAGACATCAATTCCAAAATCTCTACATGAATGAATTTGGAAGTTCTTCAGGTGAAGATTGCTACTTCTAAAAATCTACAAAATAACAACATATGTTATGGCAAAGGTCTGAGTCTTGTTTTTTCTTGCAGTCTTAGTGTAGCTTTTTAAATTATTGATTAAGTGTAAATAAGCATGCTACACCATATTTAAGCAGCTTTTTTGTCCAGCAACATCAGTACAGACATCCCAAAGTTGCTGCAAGGTCAGCGCTAACTAGTCCCCTTTGGTAACAACCCCTCTGAACTTTTTCATAATAACCAACATATTTAAAAGGTCAATGTGAATTCTCCAAATATCTAAAACTTGTTAGTGGCCAAACAAATCACACAAAACTAATGGGGAAAAACACAGCATCCAAAAACTCCAGTGCTTAACATTTTCCTCAGTGTAGTATATATTAACTCACATTGTCAGAGACTGCAAATATGAAATAAGTAATTCAGCATGACAACAGATTCACTGTGTATGGATTCAATGTATATTATGTACATATAGATTTATGACAAGTTGGGTTATTGTGCCCAGACAGGGGTCAAATAGCAACAAAAGTAATTTGGTAGAAATGGAAGAATTTTACTTGGTATGGTTTTTATGTGTCACCAAAAAAGCATGTGTTGGAAACTTAAACCCCAATGCAACAGTATTAGAAAGTAGATCCTAATAAGGGTGGAGCCCTTATGAATGGATTAATGCTGATTTTATAAGGCTTGAGGCTGTGAGTTCAATCTCTTGCTCACTCTCTCCCTCTCTTTGCCCTTCTACCCTGGGATGAAGGCCACATCAGCAAGAAGGCCCTCTCCAGATGTCAGCCCCTCAATGTCATACTTCCCAGCCTCTAGAACCATGAGCCAACAAGTTTCTGTTCATTATATATTACCTAGTCTGTGGTATTCTGGTATAGCAACACAAAACAGACTAAAATACCACTGGTCTGGGAGACAGAGCTCTTGGTTTTCACCTAGCACTGATATTAACTATGTGATCTTGTACAGGACATTCAACTTCTTCTAGGCCTCAGTTCAACCATCTTTAAAATCAGGGTGGAGGTCAGGGCTAGCAGTTAACTTAACAGTCATGTCTTTATTCATTAAATAAGGTCACATTTACATTTATACCTTTAATTGGAAGTCTGCTATTAATTAAGGACAAGATATCCTTGATTTATCATACTATCATACTTCTACTTGCCAATCAGTCTTTGTGCTCAAATTTTCAAGAATTAAATAGCTTGCATTTCCCATTACATATTTATCTAAACCTTTCATAAAATGATAGTTCTTTGAAAATAAAGAAGTTTATTTGAACAAAATATGGACGATATGAACTGATAACTAGAAAATTGTTACCTAATTACAGACATCCACAAATATATTCATTTGCAAATATACTCATATTCAAAAACAGCTAACAACTAACATTATCTAGGGAATATACTAATTTTTTTTTTTTTTTTTTGACCAGCAAGGGGATCGCAACCGTCAGCACAGTGTGGTCTGCACCACGCTCAGCCTGTGAGCACACTGGCCATCCCTACATAGGATCCAAACCCATGGCCTCAGCACTACCAGTGCCACACTCTCACAAGTGAGCCATGGGGCCAGCCCGCGAATGTACTAATTTTGAAAGGAAACAACATACTTCCACAAATGGATATCCAGTTTTCCCAGCACCATTTACTGAAAATGCAGTCTTTTCCCCAATGTATGTTCTTGGTGCCTTTGTCAAAGATCAGTTGGCTATAAATATGTGGGTTGATTTCTGAGTTTTCTATTCTGTTCCATTGGTCCACATGTCTGTTTTTATGCCAGTACCATGCTGTTTTTGTTACTACAGATTTGTAATATACTCTGAAGTCAGGAAGTGTAATGCCTCCAGCTTTACTTTTTTTGCTCAGGATTGCTTTGGCTATTTGGGGTCTTTTCTTGTTCCATATGAAAATTAGGATTGCTTTTTATATTTCTGTGAAGAATGTCATTGGTATTTTGATGGGAATTACAATGAATATGTAAATGGCTTTGGATAGTATGATCATTTTTATTACATTGATTCTTCCAATCCACGAACAAGGACCATCTTTCCATCTCTTAGTGTCTTCTTTAATTTCTTTCAGAAGTGATTTGTAGTTCTCATTGTAGAGATCTTTTACCTCTTTGGTTAGATTTACTCCTAGGTATTTTATTTTTTTGGAGACTATTGTAAATGGGCTTGCTTTCTTGATCTCTTTTTCTTCTAGTTTCGTTTTGGAGTATAAAAATGCTACTGATTTTTGTACATTGATTTTGTATCCTGCAACCTTACTGAATTCATTTGTACCTTTCACTGTATACCAAAATCAACTCAAAATGGATTAGAGACCTAAATATAAGGCCTGAAACTTTAAAACTCCTAGAAGAAAACATAGGGGAAACACTTCAGGATTTAGGACTGGGCAATGACTTTGTGAATAACACCCCAAGAGCATAGGCAATGAAAGAAAAAATAAACAAATGGGATTATATCAAACTAAAAAGCTTCTGTACAGCAAAGGGAAGAATCAACAGAGTAAAAACACGTCCTACAGAATGGGAGAAGATATTTGCAAAAAATGCATCTGACAAGGGATTAATATCCAGAATATACAGAGCTCAGACAACTTTAGAGCAAAAACCAAATAATCCAATTAAAAAGTGGGCAAAGGAGCTGAATAAACATTTCTCAAAGGAAGACATACAAATGGCCAACAGGTATATGAAAAAATGCTCAACATCACTAATCAACAGGGAAATGCAAATCAAAACCACTCTGAGATATCACCTCACACCAATTAGACTGGCTATTATAAAAAAGACAGAGAAAAACAAATGCTGGTGAGGATGTGGAGAGAGAGGAACCCTCCTGCACTGTTGGTGGGACTGTAAATTAGAACAGCCATTATGGAGAACAGTATGGAGGTTCCTTAAACAATTACAGATAGAACTTCCATATGATCTAGCAATTCCACTCCTGGGGATTTATCCAGAGGATTGGAAAACATCAGGTTAAAGGCATACCTGCACTCTCATGTTTATTGCAGCTCTATTTACAATAGCTAGGCAATGGAACTAACCTGAATGTCTATTGATGAATGACTGGATAAGGAAATTGTGGTATATCTACACAATGGAATATTACTCAGCCATAAAAAAAGAATGAAATTCTACCATTTGCAACAACTTGGATGAGCCTGGAGAAAATTTTCCTACATGAAAGAACCTAGGTACAGAAAGAGAAATACCGCATGTTCTCACTCATAACTGGGAGCTCAATCCATAAATGAACAATAAAGAGAGAGAGAAAGAAAAAAACAATCACAGTAATATGTTGAACTTTTAGAAAACTAGAGGTGGAAAAGGGGAAGAGAGGGTGAGAGGGAGGGGGCTAGTGAGGAATTGGTCAATGGACACAAAGAATGATTGTGTATTGTAATGATGAATAAGCTAACTATACTGATCTAACCACCACACATTCTACACGATTATTGAAAATCAACATTGTTCCTCATATGTATGTATAATAGAAAAATGAAAAATTTAAAAAAATTTAAAAAGGAAACAACATACAATAGCAAAATGCACCTATTTGCAGTATAAATAATTTTTATAGTGTGCTCTCACCTTTCTCTCCCTTTTCCAAAGGAATCACTCTGCATGTATGACATATAGTAAAGAGAGGATATTTTTCTCAACTCTTATTAACACGTAAATAGAAGGCTCAGATTGCCTGAATTGGAATCCAACAATTCTTAGCTGTGTGACTTAGCAAATATTTTATCTCCCTAGATTGTTTTATCTATAAAAGGAGCATAATAATGGTACACCTCTCCCAAAGGTTAAGATGATTAAATGAGAAAATGTCCAAAAATATTAACTGTCAATACCATCAAATAGATATAAACTTATGTTTATACACAATAGGAATTTTCTTTTTAATATCACTAATCATCAGGGAAATGCAAATTAGAACCATAATGAGAATGTTGTTACCTGTTCGAATGGCTATTATCAAAAAGGTGAAAGATAACAAGTGTTGGCCAGGATGTGGAGAAAAGGGAATCTTTGCACACCATTGGCAGAAATGTAAATTTGTACAGCCATTATGGGAAACAGTATGGAGGTTCCTCAAAAATTAGAAATAGGAACTACCATATGATACAGCAATCCCACTACTAGGTCTATACCTAAAGAAAATGAGATCAGTATGTTGAAGAGATATCTGCACTCCCATGTTCATTGCAACCTTATGAGTATTCACAATACGCGAAATACAGAACCAACTTAAGTGTCCATCAACATATGAATGGATTAAAAATGTGGTATATATGCACAATAGAATACTATTCAGCCTTTAAAAAGAGGGAAATTATGTCATTTGCAACAACATGATTGAACCTGGAGCACATTATGTTCAGTGAAATAAACCAGGCACAGAGAGACAACACATGATCTCACTTATATGTAGAATCTAAAAACATTGAACTCATAGAAGCAGAGAGTGGAATGGTGGTTACCAGGGGTTAAGGGTAGGGGTCAGTGGGATTGGTGAGATGTTGGTCAAAGGATACAAAATTTCGGTTAGATAGGAGAAGTAAATTCAAGAGACCTATTGTACAAAGTGGTGACTATAGTTAATTACAATACATTGTATTCTTGAAAATCACTAAGGTAGTAGATTTCAAGTGTTCTCACCACAAAAAAAGTAAATAGGTGAGGTAATGAATCTGTTAATTAGCTCTATTTAGCCACTTCACAACATATAATATTTCAAACCATTATATACAATTTTTGTGAATTAAAAATTAATAATAAAATAAAATGAATTAATCCAACAAGAAAAATATAGGAACTTTACCTAATGGAATATTGTGTTCAAGTACCTATATACATGACACGTCCAAATGACCAAAAATAATGAAATTTCATGAAATTTAAACACAATGTACTTTTTGATAATGCAGAAGCCACTTCTCAATGTTACAATTTCCAGAGACATCATTATCAACATCAGTCTGTTACCACCCCGTCCTGTTCACTAACAATGATGATAGTAACAGCTAATGTTATTAAGCATCCACAAAGATCTTCTGGTCACGTTACATTCACGTGCTTATTTAACACTCAAAACAGACTTATCGTTTAGGTACCATTACTATCTCCATTTTACAAATAAGGAAGAAGAAATTAGGAGATTTTCCCAAGGTCACACAGATAGGAATTGAGAACACCCAAGAGTTTGCATGGCTATACACATAGGCAGTTACCTTTATTTAAGACATTTTATTGAGAAATAATTCATGTACCATACAATTCACCTAATTAAAATTTATAATTCAATGGTTTTTTTTGTTTTGTTTTGGAGTTTTTTTGTGACCGGTAAGGGGATCGCAACCCTTGGCTTGGTGTCGCCTGCACCGCGCTCAGCCAGTGAGCACACCGGCCATCCCTATATAGGATCTGAACCCGCATGTATGTTTTTAATATATTCACAGATATGTGCAACCAACACCTCAATTTTAGAGCATTTCATCACTTCAAGAAGAAAGCTCATACCCTTTTAGCTATCACTCCTAATTCTACCCCAACCCCCGCCCCAGCCCCTACCCTCCAGCCCTAAGCAACCACTAATCTTTCTGTCTCTGTAGATTTTCCTATTCTGTACTTTCATTTAAGTGAAATCATTACTATGTAGTTTTGTGTGACTGGTTTCTTTCACTTAGCATGTCTTCAAGGCTCATTCATTTTGTAGCATGTATAAGTATTTCATTTCTTTTTGTGGCTGAATAATTTTCCATTGTATGGATATACCATACTTTATCCATCTGTCCATTGATGGACATTTGGGTTATTTCCACCTTTTGACTATTATAAATAATGCCTCTATAAACATTTGTGTACACGTTTCTGTGTGGAGATGTATATGTTGGTTTTATTTTTCTCTTAGATATATACCTGGGAGTGGAATTGAGGGGTCATGTGGTAACATTACGGTTACTCATTTGAGGAGCTGCCACACTATTTTCTAAAGTGGCTAGCCATTTTAAGTTTTCACCAGCAGTGTATGAGGGTTACGATTTCTCCACACTCTCACCAACACTTATCATTTTTATTATACTCCAGTGAATGACTACCCTATTTAAAGTTTGATTTGCATTTCCCTAATAACTAGTAATGTCAAACATCTTTTCATGTGCTCTTGGCCGTTTCTATATCTTCTTTGGAGAAAGGACTGTTCACATCATTTTCTCAGTTTTCAATTGGGTCATTTGTCTTTTTACCATTGAGTTGTAAGAGTTCTTTGTATATTTGAGATACAAATTCTTTATCAAATATATGATTTGCAAATATGGTCTCGCATTCTGTAGGTTGTATTTTTATTTTCTTGATGATATCCTTCGAAGCACTAAATTTTAAAATTGGTAAGATCCAATTTTTTTCTTGTGTTACTTGTACCTTTGGTGTCATATCTAAGAATCCTTTGCCACATCCAAAGTCTTGAAGATTCACCCCTACGTCTTCTTCTAAGAGAGTTATAGCTTTTGCTCTTATGTTTAGTTCTTTGACCCACTCCGAGTTAATTTCTGTAAAGAGTACTGGGCAAGGATCCGACTTCATTCTTTTGCATGTGGCTATCCAGTTTTCCAAACACCATTTGTAGAAAAGACAATTATTTCCCCCTTGAATGGTGCTGGCATCCTTTGTCAAAAATCACTTGATCATAGATGCGTGGGTTTATTTGGGGCACTCATAGATGCGTGGGTTTATTTGGGGCACTCAGTTCCACTCCACTGGTGTAGATGTCTGTCCTTGTGCTCATACCACACTGTCTTGACTACTGTTACTTTGTAGTAAGTTTTGAAATAGGAAAGGGTAATTCCCCTTATTTCTTTCTTCTTTTCCAAGATTGTTTTGGGGAAGGTTATCTTTTTAACTCCCTGCTATCATGTTATTCAATTTCCTCTTCTTTCTTCCTCATAAAAGTAAAGTGCCAAAAGTATTTTCATTATTTGAACTTTTTGATTGGTCAAATTTGAGGGTAAAATTAAAGAGAACAAAATACTAAATATAATTGGAATTTTTCCTGTTAGCTTCCCCAATTAAATACTTTGGGGCTTTCTTCATCCACAATCATCTTCCTCTTGTTAGATATATAAAATAAATGTTTGACTTTCCTACTATAACACAATTATATATTTTTATTCTATTTCTTTTTTTTTTTTTCCTTTTTGTCTTTTTTCATGTCCGGCAACGGATCGCAACCCTCAGTGTTGTGCCGGTACCGGACCGGGACCGGCCACGGGATCGCAACCCTCGGTGCTGCGCCCGCACCTCGCTCAGCCAGTGAGCAGGAACCGGTCTGTATGTGGGATCCGAACCCTCGGCGGGAGCACCGCCGCACTCTCAAGCGGCGCACTGTAGCAGTGCGCCACCAGGCCGGCCCTTATTCTATTTCTGAATGCTCTGTAAACATATTTATTCATCTGTGTAGCTTAGGCTCCAGATTTCTAAGTGGCAAAGACCAAGTGTATGCAGTGTTCTCTGTTTAGCATCAAACAGCAAACCCTGGATAATTTTTATATGTTGTTAATAGTGAGCATGCGAAGTTTCCTTATAAGAAAATCATGTGATAATGAAAAGTAAATGATTAAATATGAACCTTTTTCTCTTTTGAGGAAAAATAGAAGAAAATTCAGCTTATTGATTAAAGTAAGAATGGCACCGTAAGCTGGAATTCTTGTGTTCCAATGATGAACAGTGCTTTTTCCAGGATATTAGGGGTACCAAACATGCACACAATTTGGAATATGGATTCTGCACCTCATTGTGCTAGTAATCAACTGTGTGTGCCTTGCAAGTCCCTTTACTTTCTGAGACTCAATTTATCATCTCTAGGTAGGGATGGGAGGGGAGGAATGGATGACCTCTAAGATCCATCCTGGTTGTAAATCTCTATAATCCTATTGGATATAATCTACTGTAATACATTATATTCATTATATGTAATATAGATAATCTATTATAGATAATCAATTATGTAATATATATAATCATTATATAAAATCTATTAGGGCTGCTGAAAAGTCACCACAGAGGAAATGACCTAACCCTGAATTACTGACTAGAAATTTGCTCATTTAACAGCTATTACACACACCTATGATGTCATTCACTCTTTAAAACTGTGATAACGTTGCGATGCTTTTCCCAGTGGTAAATCATCCCCCTTTAAATAGACGCATAATAACTTGCCATTAGAAAACAAGTGACTTGTTAATAAAAAGAAAAAGAAATAATAATTTTAATTTAAAAAATGAAAGAAACTTACCTGGGCACCACCTGCACTTCCCCAAACGGTGAAGTTTTGGAAGACAGTGGGGCCAGAGGCATTATTCCAAGGTGGCTGAAATTTAGGATATACAAAGAGACCACACCTAGAAAGTCAAACAAAGGATAAAATTAAGCCAATTTCTATGTTTCTAACATTCCACTTTTTCTCAGTGGAAAATACTAAAGTAAAAATAATGAATAAGGAGAATGGAGAAAAATAAGAACTGTGACCCTCCTTTCTGACCTTTGCTGTCCATCCCTTAGCCTTACCCTCTGTGACCTGCTCCTGAATAGCAGCAAAATGCAGACTGTCATCATCCCCTACTATCCTATCAGCCCTGCCTCCCCCGCCTCCAGGTTCATCCTCTTCCTAGGAGTCTGGACACCTTTGGCCCTTGAGGTCACACTCTCTGCTATTCTATCAGCCCCTCTAAATTTACCCTTTCTTAGAGAGTGGACAACAGCACCTGTAATACCTTCAACTTCTGTTCTTCTACCTGAAATGCCCCACCATTGCTGTCCTCTGGATATGTTCTTCCCTCACATTCCAGGACTGACAAGAGCTGCTGGATAGAAACTTATGAACAAAGGATAATTTCATTGCACATGCACTAATTGCAGCGTCAGCTGGCACTTCAACATTACTTAGCAATTGTTCATCATCCCTACTCCACTGTTCTTATCATTTTCCATCATAGCATTGTTACTGATACTACTTCTATCATAACTATTTACAGCTAATAATTACTGAGTTCCTACCATATCACTGGTGTTCTCCATGGTGCATTATATAAATCATCTCAAATTTCACACCAAACTTTCAATGTAGATGTGTCACCATTTTACAAATTAGGGATCTGACTCTATTTTTTTTTTAAAAAAAAAAAAAGAAAAAAAGGAATTTACTAGGAGTAGAGTCCAGATTTGAATCAGGGCCTGATTGACTCTGGAGTCAGCATTTTTCCCCATCTCACCTTGCCTCCCTATGTCCTGCTCTTAGCAGATGACTTTGCCCTTATTTACCAAGAACTTTGAACAAGTTTCTTCTCATCTCAGTGGGCAGGTCACAAGCAAATAGCCTCCTCTCCAAGGCTCAACTCTCCTCTCAGCTCCTGGGCCTGGTCCTGCCAGCCTGCCAGGGCTATGCATTACCAGTTGCTCTCAATCTCTTGCAAGTTTAATTGTTTTCTCTATTGAATTCTCTCCACCCACAAAAGGTGCACTCTGTACTGCCACGTTCTCAAGTGACTCCTTTCTCTTTCCTTCATCACCAAACTTTTATGATCCAAAATGCTTACACAGTTATTCACAATAGCCCAGACATGGAGGCAGCCTAGACATCCATTTATAGATAAACAGATGGGGACAATATGATGTAGACTTACAATGTAATATTATTCAGCCTTTAAAAAAGGAGAAAATCTTGCTATTTGTAGCAATGTGGATGAACCTGGAGGACACTGTGCTGGGTGAGGTAAGCCAGACACAGAAGAACAAATACTAAATAATAGCATTTATATGAGAAATCCGAAATATTCAAATTCATAGAAACAGAGAATAAGATGGTGGTTGCCAGTGGCTGGGGGAGGAGAAAACAGGGAGGTATGAACCAAAGAATACAAAGTCTCAGTTACACATGATGAATAAGTTCTAGAGATCTACCATACAGCAAAGTGCCTGTAGTTAACAGTACTATACTGTACACTTAAAAATTTTACTGAGAGGTTAGATCTTATGTCAAGTGTACTTACCACAATAATAGTAATAAACAGGGCTGGAGGAAAACTTTTAGAGGTGATGGATATGTTTGTGGCATAGATGGTTTCATGGGTGTATCCTTATCCCCAAATTTATCAAATTGTATACATGAAATATGTACAGCTTTTTGTATGTCAATCATACCTCAATAAAGTGGTTTTAAAAACATACTTACACAAGAGCATCATCAAATCTCAAATAAATGCCAAAAGTTATGCCCTCTTTGTAAGCAGTCTACAAAAGAAAATGCTAAATCATGAGCCTTACACCCAAAATCTAGATGAATTTCCCCAAAGTTACCTTGTACAAGAATGTGCAATGTTCCGAGTGAAGGAGAGAAGTGGAGCTTGTGAAGCTTGGCTGGTCACAAGATGGAAAAAGTAGCCATAACCAGCAGCACACACTCTGTTCCCCTGCAAAAATTAAGATTAGTTAGGACATAGTTATTCCACACATGGTAAGGATGCTGGAGAGAAAGACTCTTACTTGTATTCTGTCTGTGTTTTTAATCACTTCCTGTCAAGATATATTGAAACTGTTATGGACTCGCATTCTTTTTTTTCCCCCTCAGAATCAAAAATGCTCTAATCACCTTTTTGCAGGTAGCTCCACTAGACTATTGCCCTTCTCCATAACTGGTATCTCATTTTAAAGTCTCCTTTTAAGTTTCCACAGTGGGAAGTTTACTTGTGACATCTAATCTAAGCCTCTTCTCTTTGGTATATTGGAGAATATTCAGTGGCTCTCCAAAGCAAAGGCACACCCTGAAGCTAAGGCTACCCAAAGTGTTCTCTCCAATCCTTTGAACAAATCAATGATTTGGCTGAGCTGAACGTCACATGAATGGATAGCCATGCCTGAGTTCTGAGACATAGTGGCTGAATTCAAATATAACTCAAATCTCCTCAAGGTACTCTTGTCCTAATTAGACTATTAAATCACCTTAATATTTCTTTATAGGACTTACTATCTATGTCTTTTATATGTTCACAAGACTTGAGCCTAAGCCTTGTGCTACATGGAATAAGGGAGTCTTAGAGGCTCCCACATGGTTCGACCCTGATCACCCAAGTTTTTAACACAGGCTGGATGGTATGAGACAAAGAAGGCCTGGGGTTTTCTCCTTAAAAGTAATTCAGTCCCAGAAACACACACTACAGGACTTGGAGAGCTCATCCCAAACAGTGGCATCAGCGCACAGATAAGAGAATGGGGAGCAGAGAGGATTGTGACACTGTGCCACCCAAAAAGGCATTAAATACCTTTCTTTAAAAAGCAAAACTTCATCCTGGTGTTCTAGGCAGACTAGAGCTAATAATATTATATTGTATATTTCTTTCTTTTTAATTGAAACATAATTGATTATACATATGTGTAGGGTACAGAGTTGACTATCACCATATTATATTGTATATTTCTAAATAGTTAGATAAAAGGATCTTGACTGTAATCACCACAAAGAAAAGATAAATGTTCAGATTTTGGATATGTTATCTACCCTAAGTGAATCATTGTACAATATATGCATGTATTGAGACAACACACTGTACCCCATAAATACATCTGAATCAATTTCAAGTTTAAAAAAAAAAGAAAAGAAAAGAAAAACCACTTTAGTGTAACAGTTGCTTCCATACAGGGCTCAGTGGGGATTACACTGTGAGCGTCTTCCTAGAACAGTTTATTAAGCTTTGTGGACATCCAGGGCAGAATGGCCAGATTTAGCAAATAAAAACACAGAACACCGAGTAAAATTTAAATTTCAAATTAAAAAAAAATTTTTTTTTTAGTATAAGTATGTTCCAATTACTCTATGGGACATTCTTAGATTGAAAACTTATATGCTGTATGTCTGAAATTTATGTTTAACCAGGTATGCTATATTTTACCTGCCAATACTAATCTGGAGATATATAAGAACAGATTTCTAGGCCCTAGCACCAGATACTCTGATTTGTAGGTAGTGGTATGATGATGAAGGGATGAGGGACAGTATTCTGTACTCTTGAGTATCTAAGAGCACATTAGATGCTCTGAGAGCTCTACTACAGGTGCTCTTCTGCCCTCATTTTGAAAACTACTTCCCTAGAGGTGACTGAGGTAGTAATACTGTACTATCTAGTTACCAAAGGTGTGAGAAGATGTTCAAAGAGGATAGAGACACAAGAAAGGCTCCATTTCCTGGTGATTTTGCCATGGGTTGCTTTGGGAACCCACTGTAAATGGAAGTCACTACTGAAAACTGAAGGACAGAGACCCAGAAAATCAAGGCGGGAAGCTTTTACTAGATCCCCAGCAAAAAGCTTATCCAGCTCAGTGAAAGTTATATTTGTGTTGATTTTTTTTCCTTTTCCTTAGAAGTATTTAATCTTTTTTAAGTTATGACCAAGTATAACAATAATATTCATAATGAAGATTTATAAGGAAGCTACTACAGTCCAAGTACCACCTTCTAAAGTCTCATCTATTTTCACAAAAATTCTGAGTTATGTATTATTATCACAATCTCACAGCAAAGAAACTAAAGCCCAGAGATGCTGAGTAACTTTCCCAAAGTCACAGAGCAAATAGTTGTCAGAGCCATTCCATCCAAGTCCAAGCCTGTAAATGTCAGATACTGTAGTCTTGGGGAGAAGAGTAGAGGCAGGACCCAGAGGCAGGAAGCTAAACAACAAGGGTGTAAGTGAAGAAACATAAACAGTAGAGTTCAAAGCAAAGTTCTGTCACCAGGTCAAGGGCAGAACAGGCGTTTGCTGTGGCCTCCCCAGTAGTGGACACACATATTGAACATTTTTGCAGAAGTCAATGTATCATGGATACCCAAGCAATAGAAATCCCAGAGAGAAATTAACTGTCCAAGTAAGCTGGCTCCTTGAGTTGTGCATCTGTAGTCACCAGATAAAATGAGTTAAACCTTCAGGCACCAGATAAGCTGGTGGAGAAGAGTGGGGTAGTTTTTGATATTGCTACATAAGTATAGATTTTCCCAAAATTGAAGAGCATTTTTCAGATTAGATTTAACTAAGGAGTTGATCTTTTTACAGAAAAAATCCAGAGACTCTAAAATCCCTTCCAAACTCACCACATGGAAATAAAACATACTCAGCTCAGAGTGCACAAACAGACACATGGGTAAGGACATGGAACATTTCCCAGTAATAAGCGTAAAGAAGACATGACATTTTGAAGAGTACATTTAAGGAAGATAAGTGTTGTGAAATTCTAGCATTATAGGGATCGAGTGTTGTGGAGGCTCAGACATAAAGTTAATGAAGACTGGCTACTGTCTCATATACCACATGTTACTCAGCCAAAGTGACTTTTGGATATCATTGAATATTGAGTTAAACTACTATTAAAGATGCTAATATGACTTCAGGAAATCAGGTCCATGGATAAGACTTCAATGATCTTGGGGTAGCCTAGGCTAGAGCAAAAGTTGTCAACCAGGGATAATTTTGTTCCCCAAGAAACATTTGAAAAAAATCTCTGGAGACTGTTCTGATTCCCACAACTTGGAGGGTGGAGGAGAATGCTCCTGGTATTCACTGGGTAGAGAGCAGGGATTCTGCTATACACAGGACAGCCCCTCACAGCAAGGAATAATCTAGCCCCAAAAGTCAATACTACCATTGAGATATCCTGGTCTATAGTCTACACTGGAACCAAGTGTTATTAAAAATAGTTCATACCTACTTTCTAGTATCCCATCTCCAAATTTTGATGGAAAAACTAACCTAAGTCTGAAATATGGTTAATTACAATAAGAATACTCTAATAGTCTTTATTAGGAGGATGTTTACAGCTTTTCAACAATCAAATCTAGCATTAGACATTCCACAAAAAAAAATAGAATTAAATCAGTTATCTCAATTCTTCTCTTGTGCTAGAAAACAATATATGGCTCATAGTTCTTGACGTCAGGAGGAAGCACTGTCTCCAAGTTGACAAATACAAGTGCCTAATATATCTCTTCAGCCCTCATAGACTCACAAAGAAATACCATAGCTATTGTTCTCAGTCATGATTACACAACTGCTATGGTCTGGATGTCCCCTTAGAAACTCATGTTGAAATTTAATTGCTATTGTGACAGTATTAAGAGGTGGGACCTTTAAGAGGTGATTAGAGGTGAGGACAGAGTGAATTAATGCCATTATCATGAAAGTGAGTTTGTTATCTTGGGAGTAGATTCCTAATAAAAAGATGTTTGGCCTCAATCTTGTCTCTGTCTTGTGCATTCACTTGCCCTTCCAACTTTCCATGGAATGACATAGCACAAAGGCCCTCTCCAAATGCTGGCACCATGCTCTTGGACTTCCCAGCCTCCAGAACCATAAGCCAAACAAATTTCCATTTATTGTAAATTATCCAGCCTGTTATATTCTGTTACAGCAGCACAAAATGGACAAGACAACAACTAAAACCTTTTCAGGGCAGTACAAGTACATATTTCCACCTTCCAAATAGCCTGCACTATATGGCTGTGACTCTACCACACTTACGACCCACAGGAAAGGCCATTGTTATATAAGAACCAACCAAGGGTCAAAGAAAAGGGTTTCTTAGACACCCACTTTTTCTTCAAGTATATAAACAATTAGAAATGTGCTCTAGAGGCTAAAAGTGATCATCTCATTTGTACACACATCTCTATTTTGTAACCAATGAAATGCTAGTTCATTACTGAGATACTACAAGGAGGGGACAGATTCCAACATTTCAAAAATATATTCCAAGGGCTACATTCTTATTCATCACCTTGCCAGCACAGGTGCTCAGAAAGCATGTACTTCAATGAATTAATGGATTTGTTGAATCATCTGTCTTGCTACCATTAGTATTTATGGAGCATACGAGTGATCACATAGAAACACTTTCCAAGTGCATTTACAGTTGGGCAGGAGATTGCAACTTTGGTCCTCTGTTAGCAAATAAGACTCACTTTTCTTATAATAGAAGCACTTGAACAGTCAGATCACATTGCTTCCCTGCCCTTTTTACTCTCAAGTCCAATTGGGTATGCTACAAATGATTTGCGAGGAAAAACTACATATTTATGCAGGCAGCCAGCGGCTTGCAGGGAAGGGTTTAAGGCAAGCAGGGAATTTTGTGTGGAAATCAATTCTTTGCAGAAGTCAATGTATTATGGACACGCAAGCAAGAGAAATTCCAGAGAGAAATTAACGGCCCAAGTAAGCCAGCTCCTTGAGGTGTACATCTATAGTTGCTTTTAAAAAAAAGTGAGTTAACCCTTCAGGCAGCTCTTAAATATGCATTACCTATTGAGTGCAGAGAGCTAGAGAACTGAAGTTGGGCCTTTAAACACAGAATTCCTTACAAAATTGATTCACAAACCAGAACAAATTCCCCTCAAATTAAATGGATATCTCCAAAGGGCTCTTCTTTAGGGTTTTTCCACAGACTGTTCTGAACAGGAATCTGGTCAGAAGAAATTTTCAATACCTACATAAACATGGGACACTCTGAAGCTCTGGAAGTGAGCAGGGCCTTGTTGCTTGAGAGCAAAGACTTCCCAGCTGAAGGGAATGGGAACAGGTTCACATAGGTTATGTCTCCTGGGAAGGTGGCACCTCTGGACAGATAATAAGGAACCTCTGTAAAAGGAGTCAAAGACTGAGCTGCTGGAGTTTTTGAGGGAGGAAAGTCTGGGCAAGGAGTGCTCTGAAGACCAACAGGGGATGCATGGAAGAACCACCACTGATCTGTTTTTGGAAAACATGGCAAAGGCCTATCTAAGAAGTGTACAGAAAAATACCCCTGAGACTCAAACAGGGAATCACGCATGAGTCCTCACTGGCAAGGCAGCACAATGCTCAGGTTCTGCTTCTCAGAGAAACTGCCTTGGACTTGGCTTGGCTGCAGCCTGGGCAGAGAGACACGCAGACCACCTGTGCAAATGAAACCTAAAAAGGAATATCACACTTGAAATTCCTTTGTATCATGCAGGGTTGAAGGTGAGTGAACTGTAAAGGTGGCTGATGGAAGCCAAGCTAAATTCTTTACGATGTGGCTAAGAGTTTGGTTCTAGGCCTCTGGGTCAGAGAAATTTGGGAATAATATAAAACCACAAACCATTGCACAGATTTAAGAATTTCTTCCCCTGCCTGCCTGCCAAGTCAGAGATTTCAAGGTCATACTCACGTATGTGGGGAGAGAAGTTTCAGGCTTTCAGGGCTGATTGCCCAGATCTAAGGATTAGGCCATCTTCTTCAAGTCTTTTTTTTTTTTTTTAATTTTATTTTATTTTGTCAATATACAATGTGGTTGATTATTGTAGCCAATTACCGAAACCTCCACCCCTCCTCCCTAAGTCTAAATAAAGGTTTTTGTTTAGTTAATAGTATCACACCAATGCCAATGTCCTGGCTTTGATACTTTTCCATGATTATAGTTATGGTCATGTTGTCACTGGAGGAAGCTAGGTGAAGGGCACACGGGAACACTCTGTTACATTTGTACAACTTCTTGTGGGTCTGAAATCATTTCAAAATTTGAAGTTTAAAGTAGCAAGAAAGAAAAATCCTAATTAATCATGGTAATACAGTGACACACAGGTCTGAGTATATTTCTTTAAGGGGTAACCCAACCCTGAACCATTCACATAACGGGATCTAAAAGCCACCACCCATGAAACAGTTCCTCGGAATAAAGAACTCTCTCTCTCTCAAATACCAGAACAATGTAGGGGGAAGGCAGATTTTTCTATTATACCTCTTTCCATCTCACTTCTTATACACATATGCACATACACGTACACACATATACACATATAGTTATTGCTGTGTCCTTCCTTTGTCCCTTTGGAATAAAGATATATTTATAAAACATATTTCTCAAACTAATCTGTGTATCATCCACACAGGACACACTCAATAAACACTAACTTACCACTTACTCAATGACTGAAATGATCTTCATTGGCCTGTTGGTCATGAGAGGCTCACAACATTTAGGTTTTTCCACATATGTCCAGTTATTACCTATGTCTTTAGGAATGACACATTCCAGACAAAAGAATACAAAAGACACAGCATAGAAAGCAAGTGGCACAGCAGAAAAAACTGGACTGGATTTTGAAAGATTTCACACTGACACATGAGTCCAAAAGGCTCTAAATGCTGCCATAGACTAAAGTTATTTTTCAGTCATCAAAATGATTTTGAAATCTTGGAATTATTCTTCACTTTCCTCTCTCCTCTTTCTTCCCCTCATTCTTTGGTTATTGAATTATACCCACATCCATTCATTCACTACATTCAGTAAATTTTTATTGAGCAAGCACTGGGTTTCAGACATTGGGCTAAGGCCTAAAAGCTAATAAGCTAATGAAAAGAGAACTACAGAATGCTGAGGTCATCAGACGAATATGTCAGGAATATACCTGACACAGAAGAATCTGTGTTACCGGCTTAACCTAAAACCTCATTCTCAAAACACATGCACTGTATTTTTTTCAATTTTGTAAACTGAATATAAGTGGAATAAGATAAATGAATAGAAACGGAAGACATCTGAGGGGAGTGAACAGTTGGTTGTGGACTCAATTTTTCTATTGCTGAGTGGGTATCGTTCTACAGGTCAGTCTGCAAGGGCTCCAATGACCCAGTAGCTTTTCCAACGCCCCTCTGGCTCTCTGCACCTATAGCCTGCTTGACTCTTCTTGCTGTTGGCCAGTGGCCAGGACACCTATCCAGGATACAATGCACTTACCAGTGAGGCAAAGACATTCCAGCTTCACCCAGAAAGATGAGCTGGGCAACCCCGGGGGTTTGCTTTCCTCCAAGCATGTCAATGTAGTCAAGAGTATGCTACCCTAAAAGTACACAAAACATGATTCCTTCTTTCTGGCACAGCTGTGCCACAAGTCCTGTAGCAGTCAACAAGTTAAATGCAGCGCCAGTTGTGCTAGGTCTAGAGTTTGGTGTCCTACAATTGATGCGGTTCTGCCTCCTTTCCTCACTGGCATATTAGCCACCCCCATTAGGCACCTAAAATGGTGTGTAAGTGTTGGGCTTGGAATAAACATAATTAAAAGTCTAAGGAGAGTTGAAGAGATAACCACGACTTTTATTAGGAGTTAGTTAGCTGAAGGCAATTAAAAACAGATGATCAGCGAGAAAGAAACTCACCCTCTGAGTTCCTCTGGAACTTGGCATAATTGCCATGACACAGAAGATGCTCTGAGGAATTTCCTGGAAGAGTGAGGCCCTTCGCCCCTTTCATGGATGATCCATGGGACATGGGATAGAATAATTGGAAAATGGGAAACTAATTGGCCTTCCACTGCTCCGATGCCATTCCTCACTCACAGATCTATGGTTAAACTATACCCCCCAAAATTAATTTAATGTTTAGATAGAAATTTACCAAGAGAAAAGTAATGTTAAGTTGTATTAAATAATGAGATTAAAATATCAAGGTCATCAGAGTGTACTTCACCTTCCAGGAATCTGACATGATGTCATACACTTTATTACTCAGTTTTGAACACTCTTAAAGGGCAACAATATGGCCACACTAACATAGTAAGATAGTGGAGGTTTAATAAGTAATTGTTATTGTAATCAAGAGAGACAAAAATCAGCACCCACAACAGATAGCTCAGGAAGACATTTTAGTTTACATTAATCTAAATGACCAGAAAATGATCAATAGCTTTGTTTTGGTCCAAATGATTACATTTATCCTAAAGCACTTGTTTAACACAAAACCATAAATTATTTTCTTAATACTAATGTGCAGCATGTAAACATTTTATACCATACCACTGATGGTGCCACTCCAACAAAATTTTGGAGTGAACTTTCTGCCCACTCAGCTCTGACCTTCCTGGTGGAGCTGAAAATCTTACCTCTATAACATTGGTGGGACTTCGGATATAGATTCCAGACGGTGTCAACATTTCAGGATTGGAGAGTCCCTCAGCACCAGAAACACGAATGATCACATTGTTTTTTATTATATTTCCCTGTTCTGACCAGTCTAATTTAAAAAAAGATAAATCAAACCCAGGAAACTCACAAACATAATTAAAATTTAACACAACTCAACACTCTTGATTCTAATACACATGAGTTCACATAATGCATTTCATACATATATATATTTTTTATAACATTTAGTATGCTCCATAAATTTAAGACAGCTAACATCTTGCTATCAGGCCTATCTATAAAATATATAACAACTTTAAATGGACTATAATAGATTTAAAATCAATTTACATATTTACCATTTTTTCTTCCAGGAATAGCCTTCCAAGCAGTATATCTTGTCTCCATCCATGTCCCTGGGAACAAAAGACCATGTTATTTCAGCACATTTTATGCACTCTGGGAAAGAAACAATGCCACAACACTATTTTTTCTTTGGGTGCAGATTGTTTTGATTTTGTTTTTGTGCTTTTACCTATGAACCAGACAAGGAAATACAGCTTATATGGACTTTTTAGTTTAGAGTATCATGGATCAGAAGTTTATTTTAAATAAAAAGAGCAGGGAAATAGAGCTTCCGTTTTACTTCTTAGGAGGAGTCTAACTGACTGTCTCCACAGTCAAAGGCCACACATCCTGTGTCAGCTTTAGCCCTATCCCTAGCTGTTCGAATTGGCCACCAACCATCTGCATGCTCTCCTCTTCCCCTGGAAGATCTAGAATGTCCTGGAGGAACAGGCTGGACAGTACCTGGTACTCTCACACCAAAACCACTCAGGTTGGAACAGAGAAGAATAGAAGAGCATGCATGGGCCATGCTATGCAGAGAGAGAGTAGTCACTTAAGCGGTATCAATAAGGAGGCAGCTCCACAGACCTCTTTCTTGCTAGGTCTTTGGTATCTGGGCTTCCAGTGCCATTTTATGGGTCTGGATTTACAAACTTATTATGCGTGAGATTGAGTTCTTTATCTATGATGCACTAATAACACATATTTTAATTCTCTCACTTACAACATAATAGATAACAAGAGCCAATAATTCACAATATACAAGCACCAAAGGCTAAATTCTTCCTGCAGGTTTTCTTCCTTGCCTAGTTAATGTCTATTCCATATAATTGTTTTCTGCTAAAATAATATTCTTAGGATACCTTCCTGAATTTCTGTTTGAGGTTTCACCTTTTCCTTTTCATAGATGAAAGTAAAAATAAAGTCAATCTTACATCTGTTAGTTTGACTTCCCCATGGCTATCCTTTTCTAGTCAAAAGAGTTTTCTACACCTGATCACCTCAATTACCTTAGCTCTTTGCCTTTTAGAGCTAGAGTTAGTTTTGTTTTTTTTTTCCTTTTTGTCTCTTTTTTCGTGTCCGGCAACGGATCGCAACCCTCAGTGTCGCGCCCGTACCGGACCGGGACCGGCAATGGGATCACAACCCTCAGTGTTGCTCCCACACCTCGCTCAGCCAGTGAGCGGGAACCGGTCTGTATGTGGGATCCGAACCCTCGGCGGGAGCGCCACCGCACTCCCAAGCGGCGCACTGTAGCAGTGCGCCACTGGGCCGGCCCTAGAGTTAGTTTTAAAGCAAGTTTATGTGATCCATATTTCCTTATTAAACAGTTTCTCTCTCAGGATTAGAACCTTTGTAGTTTTAATCACAACAGATTTTTTTTAAATGAAACATTCATTTTCCCACTGATATCACATAATTAATTTAAATATAAAGCACTATTTAACAAATACAGTTATATTCTTACTTTCAGTAAAAAATCTCTGATTTTCTTTTTTTATTCTAATATAATCAGAGACCCTTTGTTCATGAATTCATTCATTTCTTTCAATAATTTGACCTGCAATGCACTAGTCACTGTGCTAAGTGCTAAGGAGACAATGTCCTCATAAAATCTGGTGGTAAAAACATAATAACCAGATGATCAGAAATGTGGCATATAATTTTAAATCAAGGAGTGCTCATTGGTGCTAAAACAACTATAACAGAGGAACTAGACTTGGAACTCTGGAGAAGAGGATATTGCAGAGGACAATAAATGCCATGAAAAGAGGGAAAGAGCTTGTGCAAAGGCCCTGAGGCAGGATAGAGTGTGGTCTTCTAAAAGAACTAAAATAAAATAGGTCAGTGTCAACAGGCACAAATGGAGAGAGAAAGAGCAAGACAAGTTTACAGAGGTTAACAGAGGCAAAATCACGGAAGGGGTATTTTAAGCTAAATTAAGTTTTGGACTGTATTCTAAGAGCAATAAGAAATTCAAAGGGTTTAAGGAGAAGTGTGACATGATACAATTTGAGATTTTTGAGGATAATTTTGGGTTTTGCCAGGGAATTGAACTTTATAAGACAAAAGCAGAACAGGTGACCAGTTAGACAATTCTGAAACATGGACTTCTTCAACAAGCCACAGAAACAGTTAAAAATAGAATTAAAGATTCTTAAATCCTTGGCCAACAACCAAATTTGACAATCTGTGAGACTGTACAAAGACATATTTATACGACTTAGAATTATTGTGAAAACTGCTGGCAGTAAACTTTAAAACTTCCCATTATATATTCATTAACCTGAACTGAGCCTTTAAAAGATCAGTTTCCTATTAGTAAAGTTTAGTAAGCAAATAAGTGATGACTAAATCTAAATTAAGCATTTTAAACTATGGCTAATTTCTTTTTCTTTTCTTTTCTTTTTTTTTTTTTTTTCTTTTTAAGCAGGATTTTTTATTTGTCACTATTAAAAGTCTGAATTTTAAACAGATTCTTGGACTGGTCGTTCATATCCATCAGCTCATTCAACTTTGGCACCTGTTTCATCCCCAGTAGCTTTTCCAGAACTACTACCTTCACCATGAAGCTCCATGAGTTTTCCCAATTCAAACTTGAGCTTCTTCAGCATTTTCACTTTTCTAATGAAGACATCATGAGGAGGATAAATAGACTGGTAAGCCTTTTCTATGTCTTTTCCAATGCTGTCTGGAATCAATTAATTGACCACTTCTTTCAAGTCATTGGTCTTCACCTCTTGGGTCATGATTTCCATCACCTTTTTCCGGATTTGGTGGACCTGTTGGTGCTGAGCATAAGTTTTCTGTATCTGACTGCTGTGCTTTTTAGTAAAACCAACACAGAACAGACGAAGAAAATAACCATTGGTAGTCTTGACATCAACATGAGCTTCAATCATGGTCTGCCATTTTCTGACCATGGCACACATTTTATCACGAGTAAGATCCATGCCATGGAAGTTAGTCAGGCAGTTTTTGCCCTGAAATCCTCAGTAATTAGCTTTAGTTTTCTAAATGCAACTTCAGCATTCTGCAGATCAGCAAGGCTCACTTCAAACACACAACCTTAGAGGCCATCAGATGCAATTTTGATTCCTTGAGTCGTGGTGACTGGTGTTTTTCCAATATTTCTTATATTGAACGTAGCAGGCACTTTCACACCATACCAATCTTTCTTAGAAAATGGATCAATCACTTTCCTCTTGCCTCCCTTTTTCCTGCCTTTTGTAAGGTGCTTGTTCTTGCCAACCACCATGGTGCTGCTCAGAGAGCCAGAAGGCTATAGCTTATTTCTAATGATCAGGAAGTCAAGGTGTTTAAAAACTGGAAATTCAAAATTTTGGTAGAATTCCTTGTGAAAAACTATGTGTTCTACTCAAGAGTGTAGTAATTAAACAAGCTTGTTTCACTTACCCAACAGCAGTGCATGGCCTAAAATATTGTAGAATACATTATTCTCCACCTTTAGGCCCAAGGTCTTGTACATGCTGAGGCCTCTACTGAAGGAGCTCCACACTGTGCAGCCCTGTATATAGGAATCTGAACAGGAAAGAGTAAGGTAAAAATTAAAATGAACCTCAAAGGCTTCTCAGATTCTGTTGACCATATCTGTTATGGTTTGAACATCCCCCCAAGCTTATGTTGGAACTGAGATCCCAGTATGGTGGTGGAAGATGGGGCATTTAAGAGGTGATTGGATCATGAGGACTGTGTCCTTATGAATGCATTGATCCACTCATGGAGTAATGGGTTGATAGTTTAATGGGTGGTCAGGTGGTTCTAATGGCTTTATAAGGAGAGCTAGTGAGAAGGTTAGCTCTCTTGCTCTTGCTATTCTTGACATGTGATACATTGCACTGCTGTAGAGAGTCAGCACCAGAAGAAGGCCCTCACTGGATGTGAACTTCCCAGCCCTTGAAATGATAAGAAATAAATTTTGTTTCCTTAGAAATTACCTACTTTCAGGTATTCTATTATAAGCAACAGAAATGGACTAATATGATATCCAAAGCAAGCTATACTGTACTTGAAAACATTCTCCCACACAATAATGAAACTCAAGAGACAAAGAGTTAGAAGTAGTGATTGAATCAAGATAATCAGCGACTCAGGCTCATGGTCCTCAGAGATAAACAGGGTGAAATCCAAGCATCAAGTGTTATAAAATAAAAGCATCTGAGAAAAAGAAAGTCTGGCCAAGCCACAACAGAACACATGGCTGTCAAGATTTCCAACTGGCAACCCACTTCAGTATCAACTCTCACCACAATATGGTAGATGAAAAGTTAAGGACAGTGTGAATAGTATTATTCTTAACTAATACTTGAAACCTTGATCAACCTTGATCTTTGAAAATTGCATCTGGTATGAGGAGATGTGGTCATTCTTTCTTGAGCTATGAATTAATATTTATAACTTGCCACGGAATAATAATTTTGCCCAAGAGAGCCAGAGATCCTTATTCCAAATTGTAAACAAGGAGAAAGCTTGATGAGAGGATCTGACGCACATTTAAATGGGGTAAGTTTATAAAGCTAAAGGGGAAGTATTCTCTACTATACAAAAATTAATTGACATTAGGAAAATCATTGCACTGCTTCCACAGGTATAGTCTAAGACTCCCAAATCAGGTTATGTGGCCTGGATCAATCAATGAATAAATACCTACTGACTATCAATTATATGTTTTAGGAACTGTGCATTGTGCTTGAGATATAAAGATGAACAAAACTAAGTGTGTATCCTTAGTCTGATGAAAGAAACTGACATAAAATAATAAAAATGTATTATTTGAGTAAATAAATTACAAATCCTAAAAAAGGAGTTTTGTATTTTTCCAAGTAGTGAGAGAGGTATTATATAAATGTCAAATGTTTGGAATATTGGAAAAATTACTTTGGTTAATGGATTACTCTGACGTTTAATATAGAGACTATCCAGAAAATTCTCATCTATAATGTCACCATAGATACTGGGCCTTCACATTCCCCTAAATCTCACCTCCCTGAGTACCAGGTACTCTCACATTATTCACCAAAAATTTGCCTCAACAAATTAACACACTTATATTCCCCCTGTAGGAAACACTGCCTGTTACAGACTTTTCCTAACTCTGAATCTGCACCACAGTATCACCCCAGCAGAATATGCCTGCACATCTGAACACCCAGTAAGTATTAATGGGGTTATATAGCTCTTATGGGTGGAGTTCAAGGATTGGCAAACCTTTAAAACTATTGTGCAAAGATTCCAGTGCCTTCTAACTCAATGGCTGGGGGTAATTGGCCATACAGGGGATAAGGAGCTTCAGGTTGTAAAACAGTAGAAGATTCTTTGGCAAGCATGCCATAAGTTTTTATTTTCTGGGTTAATGTGTTACTTCCCTCCCAGGAAACACATTTGCATTTTAACGGGAATTTACATGGGATAATGTACGAATGTAGTAGTTTTTAAACTTTTTTTTTTAGGCGCTTCCCTTTTTCAAATAAAACCTAATATATAAAAACTAAGAGTACAGCTATTTTATACAGAGGTAGTGAGATGTAGAGGTAACAGGAGGTAGATTAAGTAAATTTTGAGCGAGGGAGGGTTTTGATTATGTTCAGTTGATAACTCATATGTGACTACTACCCTCTGTTTTACTGGAGCTGGCTGCCGCATCAAATATACTGCAGCATTATAAGCAGCAGGAGACTAAGAATCAGAGAGAGTGGCACAAAGATATTATTCAACTCAACCCAACATACTAGGGAAGAGGCCATGTAAGGCACCCCCGTAATGAGTGTTATAAATACATACATACATATATACGTACATACACATGTACATACACACATATGAAGAGACCTAGAAAATTAGAATAGACATCCTTGGCATGCAGATGATTTGAAATGAAGAATAATATTGCACTTGGCTAGCCAGGATCCTGCCCTCAATGACCTCAAGGATTACTCTGCCATTGCCTGTTCAAGTCCCAGCATCTCTCAAGGCCCACCTGCAGCACAGAGTATGTCCTCATGTCTTTTGTCAGGCATCAACCTCTGAAACCCCCTGAGCACCATATTCATGAACAAAGGCAAAGCTCAAATGTGCAGGTGTTAGAGGTGCTGAGGGGTGGAAATGGAGCAGCCATCCTCATTACTTAGCCCCTGCACCCCAATTCTGTGACTCTCTGCATATCAGCTTCTGGCATTGGGTTTTTGCCCTGGCTATTCCTATGTCTCTCCAACTCATTTTTTTTTGTTGTTGTTTAATGGTTTTGAGCTGTTTTTCACCTAGTTGTTCTCACCTAGATTAGATGTTTTCTGCTCCCCTCCTATATCTTCAGCTCTGGCCATAATTTACTCATCTGTCTGCTCTATGTTCCCAGGAAAAGCACCTGGAGCTCAGCCCATTCTCCTCCATGTTCCCAGGAAGAAGATTCCTCTGAGTTAGGACAACCCCACATAAAAGTGCTTTCTGTTGTTCCCGAACTCCCATAGTGTTGATTATTTATACTATTCGATGTCAATTTGCGTATGGTAAGAAAGCTAGTAAATGAGAGAAGCAGGATTTAAAACACGGATTGTGCAGTTCATCCCATGTGTGCTGTACGTATAATGATGTTTCTCAAAGTGGACTCCTTGGACTACCTGTTCCAGAATCATAAAGTTTACATGTTTAAAAATCAATCCTTAGGCCCACCTTAGACCAGAATTTGTTGGGGTAAAGTCTATAACTCTGAATTTTAACAAGCTCCTCAAGTGATTTCTTTAGGCATACTAAAGTTTGAGAACCAGTGACCTAGAATATAAACAATTATCCATCTCTGAATATCTCAAAACCCACATATCACCTGTCATGACCACCTGCATATAATGCCTTAACTGTGGGAGGAGAAAGAAAAGTGAGAAGTCATATACCTGGACCTCCTTACCTCTCATTGCTCCCACCAGAGTGAGCGAGCTCAGATGCTTATGGAAGGCTTGCCCCAAGTCTCGGAACTGCACTCCCTTCAACTGGACCTGGCTGGGTTCCTCTGTGAAGGACTGAACTATAACTTTGGCCCCCAGATCCCTGGATCCCAGCACCTTCTCACTCTTGGAATACAAACAGTGTTGCAGATTACCTGAAACACAGAATGAAGTCCAGAGGACTTAAAGCATGTAGAACATGCCTCTAAACAAATCTCTCAGTTTGACAGGCACTGTTGGCATCTAGGAGAAACCACTATTGTTTAATTTAACTAAAAGATCTGATAACTAGGACATGATGTTGCATTTATTATTTCCAGAAACCCCCAAATCAATCACCTTAATTACTGTCACAAAGAGGCACACTATAACCCACAAATCCAACCTAAATAGATGCTTATTTCAATCCAAAAGATCCCTGGGGAATGTGCAATAAAATGACCTTGTGGCTGAAAATTGTAGGGGAGAGATGTGAGCACTAAATGTAATCACAGCACTTTTTAGTCTTAAGCTGTCCAATGGGGTTTCCCATTTACTGTGCTGTTTTAATAGTTTGGGGACTTGGCAATAATGCCACTGTAGAAATGGCAAAGAGCTCCAGAGAAGTAAGTGAGCAGCCCCTGCACCAACACCTCCTTCCGCAGCTGTGCCCCTAGGGAAGACAGCAAACTATATGTGCCTATCACACACACCTACTATTGCTGCAAAGTGTCGTGACCTCAGGCTCCAGGACACCTTCTGTTGACACATGCATTTGGTGGTATGAACGGACCTCAGAAGGATAAGAAATCATTTCCTGAATTTTTATTTTATTTTATTTTATTGATTATGCATATTCATGGGGTACAAAGCTGATTTTCACCACCTGTGCCTAGAACGTGATGGTCAGATTGATAGTATCAGGATGCTCATTACCACAAATTGCGATTACTCCCCATGTCCCCCACCCAATTAATCCCTGACCTCCCTCCTTCTTCCCCCTCTGCCCCACAATCCTATATGTATGCTTTCTCTTTCTGCAAGTCCAAGATTCTTTATTACACATGCTAAAGAACTGAAGTGGCAATAATACCAAACAATGTATCTTTTTTTTTTTTTTTTTTTTCCCTTTTTGTTTTTTTTCATGTCCGGCAACGGATCGCAACCCTCAGTGTCGCACCCGCACCTCGCTCAGCCAGTGAGCGGCCGGTCTCTATGTGGGATCCGAACCCTTGGCAGGAGCGCCGACGCACTCCCAAGCGATGCACTGTAGCAGTGCGCCACCAGGCCGGCCCAAAACAATGTATCATTTGACGGTAAATTTTAGTCAGTCACTTGCTAACACCCAGAGAATGAATTTATAAGAAGTGAATGAAGAGATATTTTATATTTGTAGGCTTTATCATGATTTTGACTATTCACACCAGTGATTCAGAACATTTTTGAAAGGCCAGGCCTTGTTATTGGATTTAGGCACCTTGTTCCCACGCTTGACCTCCACACAAAGAAGTGGTGAGTTACTTATTTTAAGAATATTGTCATGTTTAATATTTGTGATGAAATCAAGGATATTTTCCATTAGGAGCTAACAGATCTGTAATGGCTCAAGCCTAGAAGCATGGTCTCACTAACAGCATGCTCAAACGCAATGTTTTGCAAAAGGTGATCTGAGAAGTACCATGAGAGTCTGCATAGAAAGCAGATCCTAATTCAGCAGAATTGTTAAAGTTGGCAGTCAGTGGATTCTAACCCACTGTTATCCAAACATTTTTTCCAGAATGACACATTTGTGAGTAGATGAGTTAGATAGAAGGGGATGAGGTCATGGTCCCTCTCCACCTCTAACAACCTTCCCACACCCAATCACATCACCACATTATACCTACATGCACCTGTATGTAGACACAACTCAAATCTTTAACTCTAGCCATGACATTTCTTCCAGGCTCCAGACATTACCAGACATCTCTATTCAGTTGTTAGCCTGGCATTTCAGTTTTGACAAATACAAAATTAAACTCCTGATTGCCACCCTCCCACCCCAAAACGTGCTCTTCTTCCCATCTCAGTAAATAGCCTCATCATCCATCCAGAGCTCATGCCTGGAAGTCATCCTTGACACCCATGACTATCCTGGGCCAAAGTTGACAAATGATGTCTTCACAACATGTGAAAGCCTCATAATCTACAGCCTGGGAAACCAAAACATAACCTACTAAACTAACCATCCCTGAAATAGATGTTTAATAGGCACATCAGTGTGATTCAGTGCCTGCTATTCTACTAGAAGATAAATTGACTTTTTCCACCACTTACCTAAAGTATGTGGTTGTTCACTCAGAAAACAAACCCCAAAAGGGTGGGGTGGAGAGACTACAAGTCTAATCAATAAGAATGTGCGGCCCGAGCCCATGACTCTGACATTATGGTTTTTCTGAGAATCTTAGAAGGAGCCTTCATTATAACATCTAACCCAGAAATGTAATTCAATTTTCCAGATTTAATTCTTCAACAGAATTTTTTTTCCCAGAGAAATAATTTATTTATTATTTCTTTCGTCCTTTGTCTATCTCTTTCACAAGGTTGTTGGATGGTGGGGGGAGGATAAGAGATAAAATGACAATTTATTGAGAGCATTCTGAAAACTATAGAATATTATAGACCTGCAAAGGTTAAGGGTTTATCCTGTTTTGAAAGAGGGAAACTCCAGCAATGCCACAAATCCTGTGACAGTGAGAACATTCTTTTTCACTCATTGGACTTTCCAACAAAATACTTCTCTACCTTCTGAAGCACTGGCCTTCTGGCATGAAGCAAGAAGCTTCATCCTCTCATTAGTGAGATTTCCTTGTATGGTAATACTCCTGCTGAGTAGAGCCACCATGGCCTTTAAAATATGGTGCTTTCCAGCCACCCAATTCTCTGTGAAGTTGTGAGAATACCTGAGAAAAAAGAAAAAGAAAAAGAGGGAGATACATCTGAGGACACTGCTCCAAATCTTATTAGGAATAGTAAGCCACTAGATTAGTGTAATTCTTTTTTGGTGGGGGAGGGAGGTCTATTTCTTTAGAAACTCAAATAACAAAGAGTAAACTATGGGCACATATATGTGAAAATTGGGAACTATGCTAATTATTGTTCTGACCACTTGGTATAAGACAGAAATTCTAGAATCCTACAAGAAAAACTTATTTAAGAAGTCAAAATTTTCAAAACGTTTCATGCTGTATGATGTTCTTATCAAAATATCTAGCATTGTTTAATGGAAATAACATCATTGAAAAATAAACAAAGGTCCAGGCGCCCACGCAGTTAAGACCTCATCTTTCTCCATGTAAACTTAGCCAGGGTGACCCTCAATACCTCAAAGGTGACCTGAGATGGAGGTCTGTGTTGTGTACAGTTTCCACAATGACAATCTCTTCAATTGGTTTGGCACCTTGGACACCTGTTCCACTGATAATGACAACTTCATCCCCAGGTTGCCAGTCCACAGCATCTTCCAGAGTCAGTACCGTGTCTTGGGTCTGGGCAGCTGCTTGAAGATGGGTGACAACTACTTCTGGTAGTGAACCTAAAGCAGCCCAAGAAAAACTTGTTTAGATATTTTAATAGATAATCAGAATGTGATGTTAGTCAGCCAGAGAATCTTGTGAAAGAATAACCTGGAAAAGCAAGCTTCAGGATCAATAAGCACCAATTTTTGGATATTAGTTTTGTTTTGCATTTTGGATGTTATTAGTTTTCTCATTATAACTAGGTGGTAAAAAAAAGTAATCAAGGATAGAGAGTAGTAAGGTGTGAAAAACACAGGACTTGTAATTAGACTACACTTACATTTGGATCACAGTCTTGCCATGTTCTAACCATGCTCTTTGGGGTAATCTACTTTCTGGTGGGCTTCAGTTTACTCACTTAAAAACAGAAGCAGTAGGCTGGCCATTTAGGTCAATTGGTTAGAGCATGGTGTTATAACACAAAGGTCAAGGGCTCAGGTCCTCATACTGGCCAGTTGCCAAAAACCCCACAAAACAAACAAACAAAAAAACAAGTAGCAAGGTCTCCTTTCATAGAGTTTTAAGAGGAGCAAATGAGATACTATGTATGAAACATCTTCCTTGGATCTTGATACATAACAGATGCTCAATGTATGTTAGCTTTTTCTCTTCCTTCCCTGCATCACACTGTGTTTGGAGGATGAAATTATACCTTTTTCTTACTCCAAATAAAAGCAAATTGTTATTAGACTCTCTGATGTAGAAGTTCATAACTAATTTTCAATATGAAAACTTCAACTCACTTCACAAATAATGTGAGTAAGGTAGAAAGTCGAAATTACCTTGGAATAGTTTGTCCTAAGTCTTGCTGTACTAAATGATCCCTTCAGCCTCTAAAACTTGGTGTATCCAGGATAGGATTGTTAAGCAAAGGTGAAGGGGAACTTGTGACTAGCTTATCTTAGTTTGTGTTACACTCCGACATATCCATCTGACCACCCCCACACAAGTACACGAATCCTAAACTATCAAAGATTCAAGAAGGTCATCTGGCTCCAGTTTACTTTGGCCTTTTCCAGCAAGGGTCTAGGCAATGATTTTTTCAAGGCATTATCTGAAGCAATACTTCAGAGAACACATGGCTTACTCCCAACTCCTTCCTCTTTCCTCAGTACATTTCCTTCCTCCTCTGCAATAGATCATAATTTACCTTTAGCCCACAGCAAGTTATGTCCTCCCTTGTTGCACTAAAGTAAAGTAATAATACTTGAATCTCTAACTACAGCAGTGGCCAACAATAAATCATTTTCAAATTATTTTAAACTTTCCTCTTTATTTGTCTGTGTGTGTACAGGCACTTATACCAATAATGTTGTTTTAGGCTTACAGAGGTCTCCGGGTTAATGATGTAATTTCTGAAGTTTACTTGGGCAATAATTTTATCTTAAAAAAAATTATGGAGTTCAAAATTTCTAATTATAGGGTAGGTGAAAATTAAGACATAAATCATCTCAAAAGAAAATAATTTTAATTTTATTCCTTGTTTGTATATGTTAACCTTTGGGAACAATAACATGAAACAAAGTTTATTTACATGTATATGCATATACATTTGAGTTTCTATGACTTGTTCTTGAATGTCTACATAGAAAAATCTCTACCGAGCATAGAAAAATGTTTATCAAAGACAAAATGCTATCAAATTCTATGATCAATTGTTCACAATGCTCAGTCAATATACAACAAACACATACTATGTACCTACCAACACACAAGCTACACATGGCAGAACCAAGAAGAGAGACAACAATTTCTGAACTAATCAATCTCATAAATAATGGTCAAGTCAGAATAAATAAAATTTAAAAAAACAAGCCAGAATTTTTGAAGTGTATTTTAAACTATTAACATAAACTTATGTCCTTCCAAATGTTGACAGAGCCTCTAGGAAGCAGTAAAATTATCTCATAACTTATTCATTCTTCTTTCAAAAATAATACCTCTATGTGTATGACTAAAACATCAAGCCTGGATATTTCATGAGTGCCAGCCTCATATTTCTAGCTACATAGTGGATATTGACCTTCGGATGAGCTACCATCATCTCAAATTCAAGATGTTGAAATAATTATAATAATCACCTGAGGTAGACCCTCTACAAACAGTTTTTATTCTTCTAATCATTCCTCATTACATTCTTTTTTTAAAAAAATTGCTATTATTTTCATTACATCCCTTCTTTGTGCATTACTCTGCAGTATCTCTTTACAGTACTTAGTAACAAAGCCCCAAATTTCCTTCCTGACTTTCGCAAATTCTCCGTAATGTAATCCTACTTTATGGTCTCTGGCTTCTCAATAAACTCTCTGGTTCTCGTTTAACAGGACCGTTCCTACCTCTACCCCTTTGCCAGTTCTGCCCTTCCACCTGGGAGCTCTGTCTGGGTGCCCCTCATCCATGCTTCTAAAACACAGCTCAGGCCCAGAAGCAGATGGGGGGAAAGCAGATGACAGAGAAGATATTGGGTCTGTCTCAGATATGGGCCCTCTCTCCTGACCACATGGGCCCATGGCTGAACCAGAGGGAAGACCCTGAAGGAACTCTCCGGATGGCTTTTGCACCCAATGCCCCTCTGCCTGGGGTTCTCTTGGTAGCTTACTCTGCCACATTCTGTAGAATGACATTCAACTTGATTCTAGGAGAAGCCTGCAAGACTCCCTGAGTAGTTACCCCTGTATTATAATCTGCCGCATCACCATGTCCCTCTCCTTTCTAGCATTTAACATAACTGCAATTTGACTTCTATTACTGTTATTACCTATTTGTCTCCCCCACCAAACAAGACAGCAAAACTCATACCTATTTTTGCTCACTGTCATGGCACTGATGCCTTTCACAATGTCTAGCATATAACAGTTACTCTATAAATATGTCCTGAATGAGGGAAATCATGAATGAGATATGGAGAAATAAGCATCCCAAAGTTTGGGCATCCAGATGACCAGGTGGGACCTTGAGTGGCTTGGACAAGCAGTCACCACACTTCATCATGGGATGCAGCACACTCCCACACCTTGGGGTTTGACCCCCTGAAACAATGAAAGCCTGCACCCTTGCACACATGAGTTCTGTATTCTCATGGTGGGTATCAGCAGCGGGGGCAGGGATGAGGCAGCCCCCACCACCTTCCTGAATGGAGAACAATGACCATGGAAGCCAAAGCAGAAGGAAAAGAGCATGACAGATGCCTCATGGTGACTAAGGCCAACAGACTGGTTGATGAACTTACATAAAATATATATGAAATACATTTTGAGAACACCTGTAACAAGCAGATAAAAATGTTAAAAAGCACTGAGGTTCTGTGAGAGCTGGGGGATGCAGGCAGTAAAATTTTTGCTATCACTACTGAAATATCCACAGGCTAAGCAGGCTCAGGGAGGCCTGGGAAGACTTCATTTATATAACCTATAATTAGTACTATATATTTCAGTACTAAATCATTCACTAATTATTACAGTGCATATGTCTTATCTCCCAGCCTTAACAGTTAGCACCATGAACGCAGGGCCACTGCCTTATGTTTCCTTTGTACGTGCCACAATTCCTAACACAGTCCTGGACTCACAATTATCATTCAACTCATAGTAGCTTACTATTTTAAATATTGCCTTCTGGACAATCACTTGTAAACCTCCAACAGATATATGCCCCAGTGAGTATATAATATCCAATATGTAAAAAGCAGCAAAACAACACGACCGTTTACTGAAAACTTAGAATAAACCCAACTTGAGCTAAGTAGTTTTACTCTGAAGTAAGAGCCATTTTTTGTTGTTGTGGTGGTGGTGGTGATTTTTATTTAGTTAGTTTATTTTTAACAGATTGTACAGATAGAAAACTAAGATGCTTCTAGGACAAGATCACATAGTCATGAGATATAAGCATGAAGTTCTGAAACTGAGTTTTCTGAATCCAGGACCAGACAACTAGACAAGTAATAATGGAACTCCTAGCCTCTGGAAATAACTGTAAATTAGCTGTATCCAATTAGCCTTGATACTCAAAAAATTATATTCATTACTTCATAAGTGTTATTTAAATGCCACACAAGCTGGACCGGCTGAGCTCTCTAATGAAGAAAGTATTACGCACATTTCACATGTGAGTCATTTCTCTCCACAGATCTCTTGAAACCCAGGTTGGGCAGATCCCTTCCTTTCTGTACCACAAATCAAATAACATATAAAAATACAGTTTAAAAAGCTCCATAATTTATGAATATGCTGAAATGAAAAAGGACTATACTCTTAACTTGTAATTTAATACAATGTTTAACTAATTCAGGCTTTCAACATTGACCTGTTAACCAACAAACTATTCATTTACTCCCACTAATGACTTCTACTCATAATTGTACTTCCTACAAATTATTGCTCAAGCATTTCAGTGCCATTCATCCATAATTACACAGTCTCAGAGAACCACTCTTACCAAATGGGCATGGAGAGAAAGAAAATAATCTTTGTGGGTTAACACACTTTAAAATCACTAATTGTCTTCTGCTTGTTTATTCTGTAGTACTTAAATCTTTATTCCAAGTGAATAACCGCCAAGACCTTTCGAAATCATTTGCGGGAGGTGGGGGGAGATAGGAGGGAGAGAGAAAATCATTTCATTGAAATAATGTTTACATCAGAATAGAAATATAAAGGAACTCATTAGAAAACTAGAAATATTGTTCTCAAATATACTCAAATTATTTCTCCCTTATTTTTGGATACAGCTTCACCATTTTCCATAGCAAAACAATGATCACTGTTTTTTCTTAAGTACAGATGAACATTTGTCAAGCACTAGAGAGACAAACATAAAGAGAACAGAGTCCCTGTCCTCCAGGGACTGTGACCAGCACAGGAAGTAGACAAATAAAAATCACAAATGCATTGTGCTAAGTGTTCAGAGAGGGGCAGCCAGGGTCTACTGGTGCACCAACATGGAGTACCTCACTCACAGCAAGGGAGTGGTTGTTTTCCAGAATGTTCCCCAGAAGTGATAACTGAGCCAGATCCTTCAA